AGTTAAATTAGGCCATTAAAAATATTAAATTAATAGTATTTACATTTTAAGAATTCACTGATTTTATGGAATCACTGTGACATCACACGAGGGAGTGAAGTACAAAAGGCGAGATTGCACCTACTAGAAGTAGCTGGAAATCACTGATATCCTGCACACACAGGAATTTATTTATATTCCAATGGTTTTTATTAATTTTTTAAACATTATAAAACAGAGACAATAAAACTCGCCCACACAGGGGCTATCAATTGCACAAAAAAAAAATGCAAAATAAAAGGAAAACAGTGCTCTAACACCAACAGGGCAAAAGGTACGCCCATGCAGGGGCTATCAATGGCACATAAGGTACAAAACATTAATGCAACTGACTCTAACAACTAAAGGCAGCTGTCCAGTCACACCAAAAACAGAGAGAGAGAGAAAGGGGAAAAAAAAAGGGGGGGGGGGGGCAAAAAGCAGGGGTCCAAGAGCACCAGTATCGAACTCCATTACATCCCCAGGCTAGCCGGGGGGAGCCCAGGCTAGCCGGGGGGAGCACACAGGAATTTTTAATACCACAAGTGAGATCTGCAATACAGCACACCAATGTTATGGTCAGGGGTCAGGCTTAGAGACCAATAACTATAGCAGTAGAGAGACGACCAGGAAAAGTGTATGGGCAGGTCACCCTGGTGGATGATGCAGGCTCACCTGAGGTGCGGGGTCTAAGCACTAACTGGTATTCACCAGAGCTCCTGATTGTGGAGATGGGTTTTGCTGCATATTAGTACCAGGTTGTGGTCCTCAAGATCACCCCACCAGGAGGTCAGCAAGCCAGGGTTCTGTAGCAGATAAAGAAGGAAGGGATCAAGTAGAAGCGTAGTCAGTGACCAAGCCAAGGTCATTAACAAGTGGTTGCTGGTTGGGATCAAGCAGAAGTGTAGTTGAGGAACAACCCAAAAGTTGATAACAAATTGTTGTGAAAATATGGACGACAGCAGGAGTGACAAGAATAAGATATTGGCTACAGAGAGCATATCATGGCTTAAATCAGGAAGTTCATGGGAGGAGCAAAGAGTTCAAGGTTCATAAGAAGCAAAGTACAAGACAAGATTGTCAAAGGAATGTCCAGCATCTCAGGTGGCTCAGCAAGAAGAGCTCTGCCAGACACAACAGAGGTCCCAGGTTCAGACCCAGGTCCTGACACACAAAGCTCTTTCTCCAGTGTCCATATACCTGTAATGAGTCTGCACTACAGCACAAAAAGCTCACTCTTCAGTGTCCATTTACTAATAATGATTCCGAACTTCAGCACACAAAGGTTCCTCTTTCGTGTCCATATACCAGTGATGAGATCTGCACTGAAGCACACAACGCTCTCTCCAGAACCCATGGTAGCAGCGAACTCTGCACTGCAGCACACAAAACTCACTCTCTAGCATCAATGCCACCAATATTATCTGGACTGCGGCACACAGAGCTGTATGGGTCAATCCACCACTAAGTTCCACACACAGCATAATCACTCCATATACCACTTAAAACATCTGTACTTCTGCACACACACCAAATGTCCATAATCCACTAATAATATCTTCACTTCAAAACACACAGTTCACTCCCCATAGTCTATATGTCACTAATAAGATCTGCATTGCAGAACACACAGCTCACTTCCAGTGTCCACATTGTCTGATAGTGCCAATACTATTTGATCATTGTCCACTTTCTAATAAATCAGCCATAGAGTTCACTGTAGTTCTGGATTTTGCATCACTTTAGCTGGTTATCCTTTGTTATATGACGCTTTAACAGCTACTAGATCAGTAAAACTCTATTGATTTATCTGTCCTTATAATAAATTATGTTCTTCTTGTTCTTTGTGTTTCAGGTGTAACCTCCCACCTATTTGGGGTAATGTCAGTATTGATGTTGGAAATAAGACGGACCTTGTTACAGTGAATCCCAGCATCATTGCTCTGAAGTAGGTTGATCTGCTATAAATAAAAGCTTCAGTCTAGTCCAAAGATATTCACTAAGCCACTTGAGCTACGGAAGATTCTACCCCCTTCATGACCAGGCCATTTTTTGCAATTTAGCACTGCGCTAGTTTAACTGGAAATTGCGCAGTCATGCAATGCTGTACCCAAACTAAATTTATATAATTTTTTCCCACACAAATAGAGCTTTCTTTTGGTGGTATTTGATCACCACTGGATTTTTATTTTTTGTGATATAAACAAAAAAGGATCACAAATAAGGGGAACAAAAACATTTTTTTTTACTTTCTACTATAAAACATATCCAATAAAAACATTTTGACATGTATTCTGCTACATGTCTTTGATATAAAAAAATCCCAATAAGTGTATATTGATTGGTTTGTGCTTACAAACTATGGTATATACACTGGAATTTTTTTTTTATACTACTAATGGCAGTGATCAGCGACTTATAATGGAACTGTGATAGCAATCTGACCACTAACTGACGCTGGAGGGAACGGACTAACTGCCACTGGCATCACCAGTGACATTAATACAGTAATCGGTGATAATACTATACACTTTCGCAGTATTAATTACACTGGCTGGGAAGTAGTTAACATCTAGGGTGATCAAGGGGTTAAATATTTTGTGTAATGTGTGTATAGTGTGCTGCTGTTACTAAGAGATGTCTTTGCAGGGATGAGAAACAGAGAGATTGTGCCCTCTCTGCAGCGCTCTGTGTTGATTGTCCACACAGAGCTCTGGACTGTGATTGCACATAGCCGATCAGCAGGTCCCAGCTGAATCATCCGCTGGGACTTGCTTCCAGGCTCCCGCTGTGTACAATCACTTTGCGCATGCGCACTCCCCAAACCTGAAAGCAGACAGCAATGTACGAGTGTGTTGCTTTGTCTGTGTGGGTCACCCATCAGCAGTACATTGTACAAATGCAAAGCAGACAGCAGGCACATAAAATTATCCCCCTGATATAATGTACCTTCAGCTAAAAGATCATGTACTCTTTAAGCTCCGGCAATTGTTTGAAAAAGCTAGCTCCATAAAGAGATGGTTTGGTGTGGAGTAACTTGAGTGGCCTGTACAGAGTCCTGGCCTCAACCCTACTGAATAACTTTGGGATGAATTGGAATGCTGATTGTGATCCAGGACTTCCCATACAACATCAGCACCTGACCTCATAATTGCTCTTTAGGCTGAATGGGTAAAAATTCCCACAGACGTGCTCCAAAATAATTTTGTAAAGCCTTTCCAGAAATGTTAAGGCTGTTATAGCCGTGAAGGTGTGGTTTGCCATACTGATTTCCATGCTTTTGTAATAACAAGCTTATATACACTCACCGGCCACTTTATTAGGTACACCTTGCTAGTACCGGGCTTGACCCCCTTTTGCCTTCAGGACTGCCTTAATTCTTCGTGGCATAGATTAAACAAGGTGATGGAAACATTCAGTTTTGGTCAATATTGACAATGAGTTACTGTTGCCTTTCTATGTCTTTAACCAGTCTGCCCATTTTCCTCTGACCTCTGACATCAACAAGGCATTTTTATCCACACAACTGCCGCTCACTGGATATTTTCTCTTTTTCTGTCCATTCTCTGTAAACCCTAGAGATGGTTGTGTGTGAAGTAGATCAGCTGTTTTTTAAATACTCAGACCAGCCTGTCTGGCACCAAAAACCATGCCACATTCAAAGTCACTTAAATCCCCTTGCTTCCTCATTCTGATGCTTGGTTGGAACTTCAGCAAGACGTCTTCACCACATCTACATGCCTAAATACATTGAGTTGATGCCATGTGATTGGCTTATTAGCAATTTGTGTTACCAAGTAATTGAACAGGCGTACCTAATAAAGTGGCCGGTGAGTGTAGGTGTGAAGGTCAAGTATTCCCTAAGTTTGGCCATATAGTGTATTTTTTATGTCTATTACATCAGTCCAAAGGCTTTTGTGCTGTCACTGACTAAAATTATGCAGATTTTAATTATTGAAGTCAGCTGATCAGCAAAACAGCCAACAAACTATCATGTTTAGTAAGACATCTGCAGTAGCCACCTACATATTTCTTACACCAGAGGTTTTTGAGGTTTTGCTTCTAAAGCCAAAACTTTTTTTAATTCAGAATAGAGTAGGGATTTTTTTTTCTGAGTCCCCTTGGGGAGATTTTCCTTCACTTCTTATCCCAGATTTAGAGACTCACAAAGGAAAGTGAGAGGAAACTCCAAAGTGAGGGAAAATCCTCTTAAACCCCTTTCACATAAAGTGTTCAGGTCCCCCAGTCAGTTTTTCAGTTGGACCTGATCGGACGGTTCATCCACCCCTATGGACTGGTAGGTGTAAACGGACTTGTGTCTGTGCACACCCTCCTACCTCTGGTGTGATCTTGTCCCTTAAAAAAAATGGAATGGGATCCAACCTCCTCTGGGCAGATCGGATTGGAGGGCAGTTAGGTGTAAACGGACAGCAGAGTCCATAAATCCCAGCTATACAGCAGAGAGGGCTTTGTCCATGTCCAGTCTGCATAAACTGAGTGGAAACTGATGCCTCATCTGCTCTGATCAGCACGGGATCAGCGGACAGATCCTCTGCTGATCCTAACGGAGTTTGCCCCATGTGAAAGGGCCCTTAGACAGTTGCCATTGGAACAGGTGTCTTCATTTGAAGATTTCCTCCCTGTTCCTATTCCAATAACAATTGTAACATTTTGAATTTACTGTCATTTTCTGCCCCAGAGACAGCAGTCACCAGTAATAAACCTCCTTAGCAAGGACAGACATAGCAATATAAACCTAATAAAATCTAACGTTTCCCAGGCCATCAAAAACCTAAAGAATTGTTTGGCTTTGGATACTCTTTAAGTCAAAATCTTAGAAATAAAACATAGTATATACACAAAACACTACACATGCAAAATGCAGTTATTGAAATGTTACTTGTATAATTCATGTTATTACTACATTAGGTTTTCACAAATTTTATTGGCATTTCTTATGCAGATATGGAAAACTCAATGACATGAAAACCGCCTTTCTGAAAAACCTCACCAGTTATGGTTACTCGTTCCTGTTGCTGCCCGCATTTTCCTATAGCAGTAACACAGCCATCTCTTTCGAAGTCCACCACCTACTGAAGAAATACCAAGCTAAACAGAAAGCTATATTTTTCCATCCAAACTACCTTAAAAGCCTTGCTCAGTTTTGGAAAGGGAGGGGTGTCCGAGCCTACCGCCTGTCCACCGGATTTATGATAACCAGCGCGGCCATAGAACTCTGCCAGGACGTCACACTCTATGGATTCTGGCCTTTCTCTAAAAACTTGGATGGGAAACCCATCAGCCACCATTACTATGACAACCAGCTACCAAAGCCTGGCTTTCATGCCATGCCCAAAGAGTTTTATCAAGTCCTTCAACTCCATCATAAAGGGGTTCTGAAGCTTCAAATTGGTGAATGTGAGAAGAGATGAGAAACTAAAAGTCTTTTGTTTTTTAACTTAATCAAATGCTGAATTGCTGTCGCCAATCAAGATCTGCATCTGGATATGTTTGGGCCTCAGAGGTTGCCACAGCTTCCATTACGGAACCAGTAGATAAAAAAATGTCTATTTGTAAACGTTACTTTGAATTCTTGGTTCACCGCAGATTCTGTTATGGACACTGGAGACACAAGAGCTGATAATCAAATTGCCAAATTTAAATTTAATTTATAAGTGTATTGACTTTACAGGCCACCGTGGGTTTCACTATAGATCACACTATCAGTGAAAAAAATCAAATTGCCTTTGGAAAACTTTGTTTCGGTGACTTCACAAGCCACCAAGTTTTCAGATGCGGAAGGTTGTGGGAGTGGTATTGCTCTTTGGAGCACATAACAGATGAACTCGTAAACTGGAAAGATTTAGTAAACAAAAAGTTTACCATTTTCTGCATTAGCAAATGCAACAAGGTTTTTTTTATTTTTTTTTACCACTATTGAGTTTTTTCTCCATCAACGTCAATAAAAAAGTTTTGTTAGTAGTCTTAAGGAACATCTCATGATAAGGACACTTGTGCTATATTACTGTGCAATACGAACCTCATTTGTCTGCAATCCAAAATCATGGACTTGAACTGCAATATAATTTCTGTCCATTTTTTCAAAGCAGGAGGAGAAACCAAGGCAATGGATATATTTTGAGTGGAAAACGGGCACTTGAAGGGATTTTAAAGATGTATTATTAGCTTATTTGATTGCAAAGATTGCGTTTTGCTTTCCTTTTACGTATCAATTTTTTTGTGCTTTTATGACGTTTTGAAAAAAGTAGAGATATATTTATTTATGTATATGTCAAACAAACTCAGGAGCTCAGTTGTCAAAATTTTCAACTTGAAATTGTTTACATTTTTTATGCTTTAAAGAGACATGAAAAGTATTTTTGTTAGTGAATGGACCTGTCAGGTGAAGAAAGCCAAATTAACAAGGGGATTGATGAAAACTCAAGAAAGCCTTGTTTTTATAGCTAGTAAATATATTATACTTGTGTGAAGTGTTCTTTATATCTGGAGGTGTTTTTTGCCTTTACTTCATATGTTCCATTAAGATTCACACATTGTTCATATAGTCAAATAGATAAGTCAGGAATGCAGAAAGGGGAATTATCAACCTCCTATCCCAGTTGAACGTATGTGAATCAGGACCAATAGTGTATCAAGGCTTAGGGTGTAAGACCAAAAGGGTGTTGTGTGTTATGTTGTGCAAATCCAACACAGTGATTGGCTGGGGTATGTTGTACTGTGTAATGCGCACTAGCTGTTCAACCAATCACTTAGACTACACAGTTAGTAGAGGGTACGGAGTTGTGCAAAGTAAATCCATCACATGAAGGTGTTGGGCTCTTAGCTTGAATTGAAAATTTCTCATTCATTATTTCAAATGTGTAAGCATGAAAACCATTTCTGCCAATTAGAGATATCTTGGGGATACCACCAGTAATGTTTTGAAGCTGAAACACTTAATTCTTAAGTCTGCACTCTAACCAGTTGCTACATAAGAGAACCTGTCAATTTAGTCTGGATCACATATTCTTAAGGGTGAGTCAGATTCGGCCAAAAAAGGGGACCACTAACACTGCTATCGCTGTCATTAGACTACTAAATACAAATGATGTCAAAGTGCCTTTCCGTATCAGATTATTGACTGAGACAACGCTTCCAATGGGGAGCCTTTCACCACCATTCTAAAAAAAGCAATATAATAGATAGGACAGTGCCACAGATAATGAACATTAAAAGTCCACATAAACTGTAAGGAATCCTCTGTACATGTCAAGATTCCCACTGAGTCAATAATATAAATGTATGAAAGTCTCAAAGTCTGAAAGTAGGTATGAAGAAGTTCGCTTCCGCCCAAATGTTCAGAGAAAACAGAAAACTAGAATCACCACTAGTGAGGAACCTTCCCCTTCAGCCTCTCACCTGGTGGTTAGACCTACTGAACTTCGTGCTGTTAACCCTATTGTCCCCGGGTTATGGGGATATCCTTCGGGTATGGGTCCTCCAAATTTTCACTAGTGGTGATTCCAGTTTTCTGTTTTCTCTGAACACTTGGACGGAAGGGAACTTCTTCATACCTAGTGATTGAGACTTTCACTTGAATGTTTCACGTCATTCTGATGAATGGTTACATTATTACTATGATACATTTATATTATTGACTCAGTGGGAATCTTGACATGTACAGAGGATTCGTTATAGAGTTTATGTGGACTTTTAGTATTCATTATCTGTAGCGCTGTCCTATCTATTATATTGCTTTTTAGATATGTGGTGTGATCATATGAGGACTTAGCGGCAGCAGATTATCCTATTCATTCATTAATTTATCATTTCACACCAGAATCACACACAGGTTACTTTTATTATATCTTTCACAACTATGGCTTAGTAGGATCATGGAACAAAAAATGTGAGCATATATCTTTACAGTCTTTTTTTATTTACATGGATCTGTTAAAAAAAAGTAAGCCGCTATTACAGTGCACTTATCCATTAAGTCTACATTGTGGGTTTTTTTTTTTAAATAAACCAAATTATATAAATTTAATATATCATAACCAGCAAAGGTTTTTGTCTTTCATAAACTTTGTGGTGTCCAGGATGCCACATTACCATGGCCTGCTTCATCACCGCCTGATTTAGCCCTATAATGCCGTACTATTGCACTGCAGTCGTGTGCATTGAACACGATTGGGGTGCGGTCTCCCTGAACGTGATGAACGAATTTGATAAGCAGTGCTGCTTGTCGGACCCTGTGTCCCGAGTTAAAATGCTGCTCAGCCACTTATTTTTACTATCTGAAAAAGACCTTATTCTGCAAGCCAAATGTTACATATTTTCCAGTGCTCTTTGCATGCTCATATTGACCAGATAAAAAAAAAAAAAAGCGATTACTGAAAGTCAATAGTGACCTCAATATTTTTGCTTTGTTGGGTTTGGTGCAGACACACAATGGGGAGCTCCTTTAAAGAGAACTGCTATTTGTCTATTTCTCTATTTTTAAAGAAATGTACATTTACAACTTTTTTGCATTGGCGCCAGCAAAGCATTGCAACAGCAATCAATGAACTGCGGGTGCAGTGCTGTATCTCCCGCAGATGTATCCTCCAGCTACACGTCTGTACTAGGGTACAGACCTTCAGTAAACAGGGTAGAGGAAGTATGAATGGACTACAAGCACAGCAACGTCATCAGACTCGACTCTCAGTTGAAAACAATGTATACCTTTGCTGCGGTGACAAATGGGACTTTGCAGTTTTTCTTCTTTCACAAACATCTGAATGCTGAGTTAAAATAATGACAGGAACCAGTGGGGAGAAGGACCCCTAGATTCTGAAAGTGGAGGGAGGGGTGGGGAGTTGCAGCCTCTGACCATATTTCATGTTACACCCTAAAGATGGGTGTATCATGAAACATGTCCTAAAGGTGGACTTCTCTTTTAAAGCCCAACCTTCCAAACTTTTTCTTTCATTTTGCATAGAACAGGGAACCGTTGCAGGTCTCTCTCTCTATATATATATATATATATATATATATATATATATATATATATATATACACACACACACACACACACACTCATTGGTCACTTTATTAGGTACACCTTGCCAGTGCCAAGAAAATCACCCCCACACCATTACACCACCAGCCTGAACCGTTGATGCAAGGCAGGATGGATCCATGCTTTCATGTTGTTTACACCAAATTCTGACCCTACCATCTGAATGTCGCAGCAACCAGTCTGCCCATTCTCTTGTAACATCAACAAGTCATTTTCCTTCACACAACTGCCGCTCACTAGATATTTTCTCTTTTTTTCCAGACCATTCTCTGTAAACCCTAAAAATGGTTGTGTGTGAAAATCCCAGTAGATCAGATTTTTAAATACTCAGTCCAGCCTGTCTGGCACCAACAACCATGCCACGTTCAAAGTCACTTAAATCTCCTTTCTTCCCCATTCTGATGCTCAGTTTGAACTTCAGCAAAGTCTTCACCTCATCTAAATGCCTACATGCATTGAATTGCTGCCATGTGATTGACTGATTAGCAATTTGTGTTACCAAGCAATTGAAAAGGTGTTCCTAATAAAGTGGTTCGTTGGTGAGTGTATATATCCCACAATGAGAACTCAAATGGTTTAGAGCGGTGGTCTTCAAACTGTGGCACACATGTCAAATGGAGCCCTTTGCTTAACCTTATCTGGTCCTTGGGACACTTTTCCTCCCATTGATTCCATACACTATTCCTCCCACTGACACCAACAATGAGGCACGATTCCTGCCGCTGACACCAACAGTGTTTCACTATTTCTTTGACTGACACCAACAAGAGGGATTAATCCTCCCACTGATGCCAATGACAGACCACTGTTATTCTTATTGACACCAATGATGAGGCAATAATCCTCCCAGTGACACCAATGATGGGGCATTAATCCTCCCACTGACACCAATGATGAGGTGCTATTCCTTTCACTGACACCAATGATGGGGCATTAATACTCCCACTGAAACCAATGATGAGGCGCTATTCCTTCCACTGACACCAATGATGAGCCGCTATTTCTTACACTGACACCAAAGATGAGCCGCTATTCCTTCCACTGACACCAATGATGCGGCATTAATCCTCCCACTCATACCAATGACATGGCACTAGTCCTCCCACTGACACCAATAACTGGGCATAATTCTTCCCACTGATACCAATGATGGGGCACTGTTCATCCTACTGATACCAATGATGGGACACTATTCATCCTCCTACTGACCACAGTCACTATGTAATTTATTTTCTCCCACAAACCACCACCCTGAAATATTGTCTACTTCTACACTGATGCTGGGGCATTTTTTACACCCGCTGGCCACTGTCTGGCCCCCTTTGTCTGAAGTACAGCAAACTGGCCCTTGTTTTAGAATGTTTGGAGACC